CTCCACCACCCCTCTCCACACCCTCTCCTACCCCTCTCCCACCACCCCTCTCCTGCTCCCTCTCCACCACCCCTCTCCACCACCCCTCTCCCCACCCCTCTCCACCACCCCTCCACCACCCCTCTCCCACCACCCTCTCCACCACCCCTCTCCCACCACCCTCTCCACCACCCCTCTCCCCTCACCCCTCCTCCACCACCCCTCCCACCACCCCTCTCCACCACCTCTCCACACCACCCCTCCACCACCCCTCTCCACCACCCTCTCCACCACCCCTCTCCACCACCCTCTCCACCACCCCTCTCCACCACCCCTCCCCACCACCCCTCTCCACCACCCCTCTCCCACCACCCCCTCTCCACCACCCCTCTCCCACCACCCCTCTCCCACACCACCCCTCTCCACCACCCCTCTCCCACCACCCCTCTCCACCACCCCTCTCCACCACCCCTCTCCACCACCCCTCTCACACCCACCCGTCTCGAAGCCACAGATTTCGGGAGCTTTGAAATATCGTGTTGTGCATGAGGCCTTTTCTGTCTGTCTGTCTGTTTGATCGTTCATCTCTTGTGTCTCTGTCCGTTTATCTCTCTCTCTCTCTCTCTCTCTCTCTCTCTCTCTCTCTCTGTCCGTTCTTCTCTCAGTCTGTCCGTTCTTCTCTCTGTCTCTCCGTTCTTATCTCTGTCCGTTCCTCTCTCTGCCTGTCCGTTCTTCTCTCTGTCTGTCCGTTCTTCTCTCTGTCTGTCCGTTCTTATCTCCATCTGTCCGTTCCTCTCTCTGTCTGTTCGTTCTTCTCTCTGTCTCTCCTTTCTTATCTCTGCCTGCCCGTTCGTCTCTCTATCCGTTCATCTGTCCACGTTCATCTCTGTCTGTCCGTTCATCTGTCCGTTAGCTATTCATTACCTTGTCTGCCTATTGAATTTCCCACAGCCTGTCCATAACTGAATCTCCTGTCTGTCAGGATGTTGTATGTTTAGAATACAGTGGTGAATGTTGTATGTTGTTCAGAATACAGTGGTGAATGTTGTATGTTGTTCAGAATACAGTGGTGAGTGTTGTATGTTGTTCAGAATACAGTGGTGAATGTTATATGTTGTTCAGAATACAGTGGTGAATGTTGTATGTTGTTCAGAATACAGTGGTGAATGTTGTATGTTGTTCAGAATACAGTGGTGAATGTTGTATGTTCAGAATACAGTGGTGAGTGTTGTATGTTGTTCAGAATACAGTGGTGAATGTTGTATGTTGTTCAGAATACAGTGGTGAATGTTGTATGTTGTTCAGAATACAGTGGTGAATGTTGTATGTTGTTCAGAATACAGTGGTGAATGTTGTATGTTCAGAATACAGTGGTGTTGTCAGGAATACAGTGTGTTGTTGTATGTTTTGAGAATACAGTGGTGAATGTTGTATGTTGTTCAGAATACAGTGGTGAGTGTTGTATGTTGTTCAGAATACAGTGGTGAATGTTGTATGTTGTTCAGAATACAGTGGTGAGTGTTGTATGTTGTTCAGAATACAGTGGTGAATGTTGTATGTTGTTGAGAATACACCAGATTTTTTTTTTTTTTAAGAGGAATCGTACATGATTTTGTAAAGGCTGGTGTCCCTTTTGGTCTTATATACAGTATGTGTACACTGTTGGCTTGTCATGTACACTGGTGGCTTGTCATGTACACTGTTGGCTTGTCATGTACACTGTTGGCTTGTCATGTACACTGTTGGCTTGTCATGTACATTGTTGGTTTACCATTTACACTGTTAGTCTAGTGTACGCTGTTGGTCTGTTATGTACGCTCTTGATCTGTCGTGATACTGGTTTTCAAGAAGGGAGATAGATCACTATCCTCTAACTACCGTTCAATCAGTTTAACATCAATATTATTATAGGCAAATTGTTGGAAGCAATAATTTCATACTCCATCGGAAATCACCTGGAGAGGCTCGGGTTGATCATTGATTCCCAACATGGCTTCACATGTGGGCGTTCATGTCTGACAAATCTATTAACAATCTTTTCAACTGTTTTCTAATCATTGGATGATGGACACGACTATAACGTGGTATACCTCGACTTTAACGAAGCCTTCGACAGTCCCTCACTGGAGACTAATACGAAAAGTGGAGGCTCATGGCATTGGAGGAGATGACACTAAAATAGGGTGTGTTAAATATATCTGACGAGGATTCCGCAAAACTACAAGAAGATCTAAGCAAATTTTTCGCATGATCTGAAAAATTACAAACGGAATTTAATGTGGACAAATGTAAAGTATTTAGTCTAGGAGATATAACTAGAGAAACCAGACATCAGATGAACAACGTTGTTATAGAGAAATCCGACTGTGAGAAAGATTGAGAAGTAATGATAAGTAAGAATCTTAAATCAAGTAAGAAATGTGTATTTGTTCGAAACAAAGCTAACAAAGTATTTAGGTTCATACAAAGGAGTGTTAGTTACAAGACTAGCGAGGTTATCCTAAAAGTACATCTTGCTCTTGTGAGACCTCACTTGGATTACGCGGTTCAGTTCTGGTCACCACACTACAGAATGAATATAGAATCCTTAGAAAGAAAGCAAATGAGAATGACATACCTAATCCCGGGCATTAGGAACCTTGAGTACAGAGACAGGTTAAAGCATCTTAATTTGCACTCCCTTGAGAGACGTAGAGTGAGGGGCGATATGATCGAGGTGTATAAATGGAGGTCAGGGTTAAACAAAGATGATATATTAAAGGTATCAAACTATCCAACCAGGGACGAACTCGTAGCAATGGTTTAAAAAAAAACAATAGATTTAGGCGCGGGGTAGGTAAACATTTGTTTGGAAATATAATAGTGGATGAGTGGAACAAGTTGCCAAACATCATCATTAACTCGAATACGCTGGATAGCTTCAAACATAGGTTGGATGGATATTAGAGCGATAGGGGTTGGGTGTAAACGGGACTGTCCAAGTATGGGCCAATAGGCTCGCTGCAGTTTTCTCCATTCTTATGTTCTTGCGTTGTTCTTTTGTCATGTACGTTGTTGGTCTGCCATGTACGCTGTTGGTTTGCCATGTAGGCTTTTGGTCTGTCATGTACACTGCCGGTCTGTCAGTACGCTGTCGGTCTGTCATGTACACTGTTCTGTTGGCTTGTGTTATATACTGTTGGCTTGTCCTGCACACTGTTGGTCTGTCATGTTCGGTGTCGTTCTGCCACGTAGGCTCTTGGTCTGTCATGTACGGTGTCGATTTGTCATGCACACTCTTGGTCTGTCATGTACGCTGTCGGTCTGTCATGTACACTCTTTGTCTTTCATGTACGCTGTCGGTCTGTCATGGACACTCTTGGTCTGTCATGTACGCTGTCGGTCTGTCATGGACACTCTTGGTCTGTCATGTACGCTGTCGGTCTGTCATGGACACTCTTTGTCTGTCATGTACGCTGTCGGTCTGTCATGGACACTCTTTGTCTGTCATGTACGCTGTCGGTCTGTCATGGACACTCTTTGTCTTTCATGTACACTTCAAGGGAATGTTCTACTTGTGTATGTACTGTATGACTCGTCACTGCCTCCTGGGTTTTTTACTGTACCGTCAATGTGGAAGCTTGTTACCACTCACTCACTCACCCTCGTATGTACGTTTTGTTTTATTATTTATATCCACAGCTGTGAAAGGAGTTACACACGTGGCCTGATTTTGGAAAGGTATCTTGGATATCGGTCACTATCGTATCAACACCACATAGATATCGGCCATCGGTTACTAACATATACCTGAGAAACTTTGGTCACTCACAACTAAAGGACCAACATCTGACAAAGTGATCAACAGCTGAAGTCAAATAATCTTGGTTGTTATTATGATCATGTATTGGGTGACTATGGGTCTCGTTTAAGAGGGATTTACTTTATAATGTACTCGTACATTCTGATGTATTTCAGGTGCACTCCTCACTCACTGTTGCCCCCAAAAAGTAGGTTTACGGGAATGGATGAATTTCAAAATGGACCCTGAGACTCCTGTTATCTCGGCACGGTTGTCAAAATCCTTCGTAAAGATACTTTGTGGAGGGGGTGTAACTGTACAGTATATACAAAAGTATCTGTTCCCACCCCGTGTGAAATATTACGAGACCACATATGATAGATATTGGGAAATGCATTTACTTTGGTATATAGTTTAACATAAGTAATACATACCAACCCTCCCGGGACACCACGAGAGGTGCATGTAGCATTTGGGAAGTTATCGGTCCCATCCTGGCAGATACGTTTTTGAGATACTGTACATTGCGTCCCATTTTCATGATCAGTTCACCTATAATTCAACAACTAGCGTTAATTATCGCATGTAACACTCATATTTCTCGTTTGATGTCAAAACCTTTAAACCTTCTCAATTTTATGAAGAATGATGTAATTCTTTAATAAAATCATTACAACACCAGTTACTTATCATGAGTTTAGGGAGTATGACTGTTGAGGATGCAGATGGTCCTTCGCGGTATGAACTTGTTGAGTGTTGTAATGAGCAGTTTGTTTCACCTGCAGTGTGAGTTAAGGTCCACCTCCGTGTTGACAGTGTGCGGTGGTCCATAACTTGTGTCCCTTGTAGGTGTACCGTGGTTACATCTACTGCACCATCTGCTGATAAACTCGTGTTTTTCTTAGTCTTTACGTGTTTTTATTTTCATTTTGTCCCTTGATATCTAAGCCCCGAATCTTATTATCCAGGAGGGCCTGCGAGAACCCCCCTCCCCTGCCAGTAGTTCAGCGTAATACGTCATCCACTCCATTTAGATGTGCACGACAAAAAATTTTATAATTAAGCACTAACGTCTTTTTTCCCCTCAAAAACAAAACACCCTCTGATTTTTTTCACTGTAAGCAACCCTAAAAATGTTTTGAAGCAAATGGAATACTTGTATTTTTTTTTTTGCTTTTATTTATTTTTTTTTTTTTTGCGATTTTTAAATTTGGAATATTTTTCTTGTTTCTTGCAGAGTCCTCCGGACAGTCCGAGCTCTACGGTGTTCCACCCTTCCTAAAGCAGATGTCTTCAAGTAGATTTTAGAAATAGTTTCGGTTTTTCATAATTCTGTATCTATGCATTTATAAGAAGTGTATTTTGCATTTTCATATTCTAGTGAGAAAACAAAAACTAGTTGTTGTTTCAGAAAGCATCATTCTCTCCTTGTAAATTATTGTACATTAGCCCTCATCTTCCACATGTGATAGCGTTTATTGTTAAAACTGTCTTCATTGTCTATGATTCATTGTTATTACAGTCAGAACACTCCATTTTTGCCTTTTTACAACTCATATTACCTGCTCGTTTTGAATCTACTTTGAAAACACAAAAAGATAAACAGTGAAGAACTTACGAAAACTTCAAGAGCTACCAAGAGCTGTTCCCTCAACCTGTGGTTAGTTATTTACTGAGTGTCATACGTCAAGACTCGAGTGTCAAGTATCAAGACTCGAGTGTCAAGTGTCAAGACTCGAATGTCAAGTGTCAAGTGTTTTGCGGTACAAAGGAGAGACACTTCACATAACCTCCTTACACACACTTGAAGGTAAGTGCCAAACCATTTTTTTTATGTACAAGTAAAGTTTTTTTTCTGTTCTAATCATCTTCCTATTGAGAAACAGTTCGCGGGCTATGTCCTCGATAATATTCTCTCGTTCGTCTGTCTGTCTGTGAACAAATAAGTGTCCGCACAATAAAAAAATTTCCATTGGGTGGATTACAGCCTTCCTTCACCTATAGTTTTCTCTATACCAGTTGATGATCCTTATTGATTCTAGTGTAGTATCGGCCAGGGTCCACTCATGACTCGGCTATTGCTCTACAGTATTTACTTAATACACCTTGTTTGATACAATGATCAGATGGTCCGTTCTCATCTGGTTGTCTTTTTCGTTGTCAAATTTCATACACATCTCTAAAACTTTCCATATTTTTTTTCAAAACGATCTCTTGGAATTGCTAGAAAAAAAATTGCCTCCGTCTCCTCGAGGATGTATTCGAATGCGTCATCAGCGTCAGAAGTAATCCTATTTACCTTTCATGAATTTTTACCTCCTGCATCTGAGATAGAAAATAAAATGCTAAAGAATTGTTGTTGTGGCATTATTGTCGTAATTGGTGATTTACTGGTCATAGTAAAGGTCCACTCAAAATGAGTACTGTCAATCAAAATGTACTTGGTATAATACCCCAACCCCCCCCACCTCCCACAAGGTTATTCTCACTGAACTGAAAGTATTGAAACCCGAAGATAATAACAACTCAATTCTAATATACTGTAGTCCCACTTTTGGTTAGGATTAGTTATGATAGGGCTTGATAGGACTGGGCCTCATAAGACTGGAACTCATTTGACCAGTAACACACATAATTTACGTGTAGGGAAGAAACATGATCTGAAACCATTTTACTCTTCGTTTCGTCGATTCTTATAAAATGAAACAAAAATGCATCGTTATTCTATAATTGCGATCTTAAGTGGATAGTTTTTCCAATATAAAATTAAGCTTGTTTAATTAGGTTTTATTGTCATTGTTGTTTAAGAACTAAGACATTAATTTTCAGAACATCGATCACAAGTTTTTTGACCCCTTGTGCCGAGTTAAGTCATCTGGCGTTGGCAAGATAAAATTAAAAATGGCGTCCCCGCAGTAATGGAGTTAAATATGTTTACCGCAAATTCAGAAATTGTGCCCCGCAAATTTTAAAACATACAACAATGAATTTAAAATACATTATATAGATTTGAATTGTGTGATTTTTGGTATTTATTCTACAGATTTTAACTGGCATACTATGAATATTAGAATGAATAGTATGCACAGTATACTGTAGATTTTTAAGACAATTTTACCTGGCAATACTTGGTAAAGTAAGACTCTATGTAATGGTGATTGTGATTGGTGGATGCATTTTCCTCTGTATCACTGTCAGGATAAATATTAAACAAACTAAAGGCAACATTTTTATAATAAGAAACTATTCCTCATTATTTTAGATCATGATAAGTTTCTAAATATATGAACATTTGGAAACTTCTCATGATCTAGTATTCATGGTAGTAAATATATCCCAAGTGGAAAGTGTATCTGAAACACTCATGGCTACACCAGGAAAGTCCAGTACTGTCAGAGACCAACCTAACCTAACCCAACCCACCCCACGAAGAAGGGTTCGCATTATCGAAGTTTCGCTAGTTACTCTTAGCCTCACCCCGAGAGCGCATCTACATTAAGAGACTCGCTAAGCTAAGACACAAAATTCTTGTGTGAGTGTGTGTGTGTGATTGTGTGCGAGTGTGTGTGAGTGCTGCTCTCTGCGGGTATGACTGAGAGCTGGTTGACAGTTGTTTGTCCGAGTGGTTGGGTATGGATGACATGGCGTGAGGTTTCCTGTTCATATGTTGCCCTGTATTGGGAGTTGGTAACTTGGTAGCCCACTACACTACTGTACGGACCTCCCAAATGAATGTATCTGTCAAGCCTGTGTTTCCCTGAGCTATCAACTCGAAGCAACATTAGCAATTCATAAAGCTACTTGGTGTACATTAATCTTTTTCTCCTGATCTTTGAAGAAATTAAAGAAAAATATTATTATCGTTCTTTCTTTGGTTTGTTGTATAGAGAAAAATATCGTGATGTTTTTTTAGATATAAAAATGATAATTACCAGTATTTTTAAACACATTAAATATTATATGATATATCGTTTTTGGCTATGAAAGCTACTATGATTTTTTAGGATATTAAAACGGTTATTACAGGTTTTTTTTGAGAAGTTAGAAATTTATGTTTTTTGAGGAGGAGAGGGAAGTGTGTTAAAGAACGTGGGGTTTTTTGTGGCGATGGAAGACTAAACCAGATTGTCACTTCAAAAATACCTAACGTTTATTTTTGATCTGTAGCCCAGGTGAGAGGTGAAGTGAATGTTAGTGTTGGACTGTGAATGTCAGACTAATTTTGTTTCGTTACAGTCGGTGATTTTCTTGTCTTTGTTGAAGAAGAAAATGATCCTCGTCAGTATTTTTACTATTGTCGTCATTATCTTCACTGTCGTCGTCACCATCACCACCATCTTTCATCCTCACTACCATCTTCATCACCATCACCATTTCTTGCCACCTGGGTTACCAACACCACACCATTACCAATACCACCACCACCACCCTCACTACCACCACCACCACAACCACAAACATTACTCACCACCACTCACCACCACTCACCAGAGAGGTAGGATCCTGCCCACGTCTCTTGGGAACATTTCAATTTAATTAATTTTGTAAAAGACGGCAACACTTTTTATTCACTTTCTATGAAATGTGTGTGTATGTGTGTGTGTGTGTGTGTGTGTGTGTGTGTGTGTGTGTGTGTGTGTGTGTGTGTGTGTGTTCGCTCAATGTCGTCCTATCGATTTTTGCAGCCATTCACGACCGAGTGTAGGCGGGACCCCGGTCACTCTACACTAGTGGCCCCACAAGGTTCTCTGTTATCAAAGATTCAGACTGTAATTTAATTTCTTAGCAATTAATGAGCAATAAACACACACACTCATCTTAATCGCTCCAATAGTCTTATGGTGCAAGTTGGACGCCCTACATGCTTGCCTGCCTGCCTGTCTGCCTCCTTGTCTGTATGTGCCTTCTTGTCTGTCTGTCTGCCTGCCTGCTTGTCTATGTCTGTGTGTGTGTGTGTCTCTGTCTGTCTGCCTGCCTGCCTGCTTGCCTGTTTGTCTGCCTGCGTGTCTGCCTGCCTGCCTGCCATCTCTATGTCGTTTCGGCAACACACACACACACACACACACGGTCAAGATATCACTATAACATCTCGAACACTCTACCTGTATAATCATTCCTATGTAAATAACCACCACACAAACGTATACTGTGTGTGTGTGTGTGAGGCCAAAAATCCGCCTTGTACACCTGAACGGAATGGCCCATAAACCTGTAGACAAAGAGGAGATATATTTTACACTCAATTAAATTATATACTATTATAATATTTCTTACTTTAAATAAACTTGGTAGTGGTGGTAGTGGTGATAATGGTGGTAGCGATGATGGTGGTAGTGGTGATGGTGGTAGTGGTGATAATGGTGGTAGTGATGATGGTGGTAGTGGTGATGGTGGTAGTGGTGATAATGGTGGTGGTGATAGTGATAATGATATTGGTGATGGTGGCGGTAGTGGTGATAATGGTAGTGGTGGTAGTGGTAGTGGTGATAATGATGGTGGTGATGGTGGTGGTATTGGTGATAATGACGGTGGCGGTGGTAGTGGTGATAAGGATGGTGGTGATGGTGGTAGTGGTGATAATTATATTGGTGATGGTGATGGCAGTGATGATAATGACAGTGGTGATGGTGGTGGAGGCGGTGATAATGATGGTGGTGATGATGGTGGTAGTTACGAAGATAGGTACAAAGGAATATTTTTTTTCACATTGTATTGTCACAAAGATGGGAAAAATGAACCATGATTTTACTTTTTTTTTACGGGCATTAGCCCAATTAGGCACAGGTCACGACCCACATCAGGGGCCTGGTGGGGAATATAATAATAATAATAATAATAATAATAATAATAATAATAATAATAATAATAATAATAATAATAATAATAATAATAATAATAATAAATAAATACCAAGAAAAAAGATCAATAGCGAGAAACAATATATGTATGTTGTGTTGTCAATAGTAAGAGAAACAATTGAGACCCTGCAATTTTGTGTAAATGAGGCAGAAAGTCAGATCAGCAACCTGGGACTTGGTCACAATTTTCGTGATGCCATATGGCAGCAGGGTCTACCATTAGACAACACATTATGCTTCCAATATCTTCCCAGGCCGCAGTACCTCCCTGTTTGATAGCTACCTACTACCTACACACAAGCGGGTATAATTTTTTTGTATTTTTCTACTTCTTTGTGTCATGTGGGGTAAACTTATAAAATTATCCGGCGGAGCGCGGCTTATATAACCGGCGATATCTTACAAACTTTTCGCAGCTTTTTGCAGGAAGAGTCAAAGTGGTTAATGCTTTTACACAAATTATAGCCACAGGAGGTAATTTTCATCTTCGTTTTACATATAGGTATTAAACGGTCTTTGAATCCCATGACGTCACTCTTCTTTTTTCTTCATATGGCGCCATCCACGACCCTTCGATGACGTCACCCCCTTAAGGAATTGGGTGACGTCATTCTTCGAGTAGTTGATGGCGTCACACCTGTCAAGCATTTGATGACGTAGCTTGTCGAGTCTTTGATGATGTCAC